ACATATATAATGTATAATAATTGAAAGGTAATTGTGCCGCATCATTGTAACTTCTGTATTGTTAGCCAGGCACAGCTGAAAGGTCAATATAATTCAAATAATAAATATATATATATAAATGTATAATGCTATGAGATTTAAGCTATTTAGTCTAAACAGTTATGTTTTTGTGTTATAATCTGTAGTCATTCTTGAATGAAAAAGGCATAATTTATATTTATTTCCTAATTTTTTTAACATGGCTATGAGATCTGTCAAATTGATCAAACCTGTACAGAGATTCGTTACAGAAAATAAGAAGATAAAATATAAAGGTTTTTCTTAAGAAACATTTGATAACTATTTGGACATTATAAAGATTTTACATGTGAAGTTTTGAAATTTTCTGACGTATAAAAGTATTTTTAATCTGAATATGAAATTACTTTGCATGATTTATAGGCAAGATGTGAAAAGAAGAAAAAAAAGGCATGAGAGAAACATTGCCTTACAAACCTTATGACTTAATAAAAAAATGTGACATTTTGCGTATTAAAACATTGTAAAGTTTACTGATAATCTGCCAAATTTCTTTAACATTCGCTAACTGATTTAAAAGTTATAGCATTAAAACTATAACAAGCACAAAATGATTACGAGGTCGGTCCCAGGGACCAAGTCCGGGTTGAAAGAATTAATTTAAGTACAATATCTAAACTGTTTTCCTGAGTTTCCTGTTAAATAAAAACTTCTATAAGTAATTTATACAATAAAGCTTTTAAAAAATATTTTGACATTATCAGAACTAGAATGTTTTGTGCTTATATTTTCATATTATATTCTTTGCAGTTTTTGAGACTTACTTCCTGTTTAAAGAGAGTTAGATCTAAAGGTTTTAAGTAGTTTAATATGAAATCAATTTTATTATGAGTAACTATATCAAAAGTTGAGAAAGTATCAATAACAAAATAATGAATATTTGCTGTAAATTTTTTATCAATGCTGTAAGTGTAGCTACCAGTTTGGCCACCAATTTTAATTTTATTCATTTAAGTTGTACGCTCAATCCTTTTTTTGGCCACATCTTGTTTTCATACCTAAGGTGTTTTTAGTTAGATATCTTTAGCAGGTGTACAGTTTGTTTCTTTGCTTTTTGAAAACATTTTTGGCCACATCTTGTTTTTATACCTAAGGTGTTTTTGGTTAGATATCTTTGGCAGGTGTACAGTTTGTTTCTTTGCTTTTTGAAAACATTTTGATTCGTTTTTATAACTTAAGTGTTGTAATAAATAAAATAATTTCTGTCCATGGTATGGATAAAAAGAAATATATTTTAGGTTATTCACTAATTTCTATTTATAGAAATGTTCAAACTTAGTGAATAACCTAAATCATTGATTGTATACACACACTAATTAAAAGCTAATCATCACCTTAAAACATGGAAAAGAAATTAGTACAAATGCAATGTCCATAGAAATGTAACTTAGTGTTTAGATATTTTAATATTACAAAGAATGATGGATTGGAATGATTTGAGACTTCCTTTTGTTTTACATTATGGCTCTTTTAACACTGTAGGGGGGTTCGAGATGACATAGAAGAAGAAGATGATGAAGAATCTTATTATCGATACATGGAGGAAAACCCTAATGCAGGGATAGATAAGGAAGACAGTGATCAGGAATTAGAATATGATGAAGATGGAAATCCAATTGCTCCTCCAAAGTCAAAGGTTTATCAGAATTCTTGCTCTAGCATAATGAAATTGTACTTACAGCTGTCGCATTTATCAGTCTCAAGGGAAATTGAGAAAGTTTAAGGTCTAGTGGTCAATTGCATCATTAATTTACTGTCTTGTTTATAAATATTCAGCCAAGTTAAAAATGTTT